CTGGAATCACGTCGATGCTGCCGTCGAATACCGCCAGACGGAGTTTATGTTGTTGGAGGAGTTGCGCCGGCGTTGTTGCAGCCCGATGTGGGCTGGTTCACGATGATGCATCGGTGCAGGTCGTTCGTATCGAGGAGATGAATGTTGTCGGGGAAACAAGTCGTGTGGCTGTAGGAAGTCACCGCTGAAGGCCACGAAGAACTGGAGGCCGCCGGTCACCGGAGAACACGAAGGGGGCGGTGTGGCGATTGGGGGGTTTGAATAAGAAGGAGAATAAGATAAGGGATGCCAAGGGTTTTGTTTTCATTTTTTGTTTACTTTCTTTTTTTTCTATTTCTTTTGTTTTATTTCCTTGTTCTCTAATTTGATTTTAAACCAAAATGCCAAAATTCCCAATCTTATAAGAATGCCCTCTTAAATTATTTTTGAAGCGAAAGTCCAATTCCTAATTTTAATAGAAAGCCCAAAACAAAATCCTAATGAAAACACTCTAGTAATTAAATTAAACTCACAACAAACCAAAATTAAATAATTAACTTAAACTCTAAAACAAAAGAATAAAATCCCAAAAATGGGGATTGAATTTTGAAAAACATTGGATTTAAGATTTAATTAAAAAAATCTCTTCCAAAGTTCTAAAACTTAATTTATCTTAATCCAACAAAATTAACCTTAATTATAATTTACCCAAAATTAGAACTCCAAGATAAGATGATTCAAAAATTTCACTTAACGAACAAGAGAAAAATTCAAAGGCGCAATTTTAATCTTAAACTAAACAAGCTAGAGAACGTGGGGCGCTACATGATTCCTCCATGGCATCATTAGGGCATCCACAGGACCGAATGCTCCTTCTTGCTCTTGTACAAGGGACTTCTCATCTGATACAAACCTATTTGTGACCAATTACATGTACCAAAGGAGCAATTACAAGAAGCAATGCAAGAAGATTGAAGAGGCTTTCACACTGTACCTTCAAAAGCTTGTTCATACACAAGAACCAACAAAGAGTTTTGAGCCCAAATTTATTTACAATGTTACTTCACTGAGTCAATGAGATAATTGAGAAAAGATGGCACGGGAAAAGTTGTCTATTTTGAGATATGGTACAGGGGACAAAAAAAGTTTGCATAATTGTGAACAGGTGCCCTTGTAGATTGCACCTTTTGGGAGTCTGTGAAGTAAAAGCTTGTCAGACCTCATCCAAATGTGAAGCGCCTCCTACATTTGATTTCCAAGACAATGTAAAGCAATTCCACGTTTTCTGATTCGAATTTAGTCATCCACATTGACGTGCAATCAAGTTTTAATTTGCATGTCTTATTTTCTTCAATTTGAATTAAGTAGGATTTTAAAAGACTTATAGTATGGATTAATTAAGATGCATTCATATTGAAATCAAGAACTTTTGTTCCTTAACACATTTGGTGTTGTCATTTTAAAATCTTGTTTTAGGTTTCATGTTAAACCGATTGATTGAATTAGTCTCGATCAAGCAAATTTTTTAGTGAGAATCTAAGAGTGACCATCATGGATTCTAAGTGTGATCTTTAGAGTGATTCATCGTCTAACCTTACTCTTGGTTGGAATCATTCGATAAGTTAGTCGCTTTTATGAATGTTTGCAAGGATCCTAGAAGAACCTCTAGCTTTGTAAACCCGAGCAACCTTGGCGCTTATCATCATCACCTTGGTGTGACTCGTGCATCGGAGTACATATTATCACTTCATATTCAGAGATATCGTCATTTTTTTCTTCTTCCTCATACTCATCTGTTGGGTTTTATGCCCTAAGCTCGTGGTTTATAAACATAAAACAAAGATTCATTCAATAAAGTTGTTATTGATAGCATTGCATTAACCCAAATCCAATAAACTAACATCCGAGCTTATGTCATTGTAACTGAAACAGTATATAACATATATACATTATATATTTGATATACAGTGTATATATATACAGTATATATTCGATACACAAGTGGATAATGTTCCAGTAGTAACCTAAAGGGTCTATAGTATATAGATAAGGTTGAGTATCTTATCCTGGTAACACTATGGATACGACCCACTTTGTAATAGTTACAAATGACTTCATCCAGGTCGTTCGTGTAGAGACATGTGAGTGGGGGTATCCTATACAATAAGTTTGTATAAGACCGGACCGTGAAATAATTAATCTTTAGCTGTAATACCGTTAGCTAATAGATTAATATTTCAATAGGATGACTAGGTAACTCAATCTCAATCCTGAGTGAGTTTTGGACTCATGCCTGTTAGGGCTCGTCCTTTGATTTGTGTGAGTGAGAGTGGCCCGAATCGCCAACTCAATATGCCAACTATTTTGGGGATGAGACCGAGTGTGGAGTTGGGAACATAACTACACAAGATGAAATTCACTCCTTCCTGACTTTGGGGTAAGTAGATGAGTGTTCTCTTAAATGCTGACTCCGGGACTTGAATAAGAGGCCCCACACTCTCACTGGGCCGATAGGGACTTCCGGTTATTGGTTGGACCATAACCGGGTTGTTCATTAGAGAATCAGAGGCATAAGATGTAACACAAGGGTAAAATGGTAATTTGACCCAGCTGTGGTTACGAACACCCGTGAAGGATTGACTTTTCGTTAATGGTCAAAATCCATGGACGCAAAATATTCTGTAGTGAAAAGAGTGTAACTCTGTGTCTTTAGTGGATGACTGACAGTTAACGAATGTTGATTATATGGTTAATGAGTTTAATCAATTAATCTCGTATCGTTGGAGCTTCTAATATGTAGGTCTATTTGGTCCCCTTGCTAGCTCGTAAAGAATAGTTAAGAACAGTTAGTCTTGAAAATAATTTGAATTGCTCAAATTATTTAAAGGCAATTAAGGTTAATTGTATGAGATGCAATTAATATAATGTATGTTGATACATTATATATAAAGTTAATTTTGAATTGGATTCAAAATCATGAGAGAGATGGATATTAGAATTTGATTCTAATATAGTTTGATTAATTTAAGTTTAATTTTATTGAATATGATTTAATTAAATTAATGTGATATATTAATTTAGTTAGATTAAATTAAATTAAATTAAATTAATAATTATTTTTTTGTAATTAATTAAATTAGATTTAATTAATTATTATTTTAATTAAAAAAACTAAAAAAAGAAAAAGGAAAATGGGATGAAACCTCCCAGTGGTGGAAAGTGGAGAGGTATTCCCACTTCCCATCTTTAATGGTAGGGAGTGGGGAAGTGGTGACTTCCCCCTCAGTTCTCCTTCCCTATAAAAGAGAGGCTCTCCCAATTTCTTTTGACGGCTCACGTGCCTCGGTTGTTGAGTTTCTGAAACACCAACGAGAAATTTTCTCTCTCGATCTCTCGGTTTCCCTTTCAATCATAGGACGGTTCCCACAAACCGAGTTCTTAACATCCAGAAGATAGTGAGGAAGACTTTTTGGTGGCGTTGGTGTTTACATTGAAGACGTGTCTTCAAAGGTATGTATCACTAACTTCCTTCTTACTCATGCTTATGTATTTTCTTTGTTGTAATTCTAAAACAAGATCGAAGCACACGCGTTCGCACGCTTCCACTGCGGGATCCTATCCCTTCTATTGGTATCAGAGCTAGGTTCTACTTTCGATCTTGCTTTGAATAACAAGGAAGAGAATGGTGGGTGTTTCTATACATTTTGATGTATGTGGTTTGCAAATAGATGTTTTCAGTTTTTGGCTTTAGGTCTGTAGTTTTTCTGTTGATTTGATCAATGTAAAAGCCCATTGTCTTGGGCGTTGAATACTGGTCTGTATGTTCATGTCGTTCGTGGCAAGGAGTTGCTGTGAAATAGTCCAGAAAAGTGAAGAAAAACCAGAGAAATCAAGTGGACATAGTCTGGGCGCCAGGTAGCGACGTCTAGGCACTGGACAGTGGCGCCTAGGTACTGCCTTAGCTGCATAAACCCGACAGCTCGGGCCTGCAACAGTGGGGGTAGCGCCTAGGAGCTGTCCCACGGCGCCTCGATGCTGGGTCTGGGCGCCTAGGCGTTCGGCTCGGGCACCTAGGCGCCGTGTTTTATAAAAAAACAAAAATTGTTTTTTTTTCATTTCTTATAGAAAGCAAAAAACCGGTCTATTTTGCTATTTAATTATTATGCATTTTTAATATATACTTAATTAGTTGTATATGTTGCATAAAGTATGCCATATAGTTCAAATTCTCACCATAGGTTAAGTATGTTCATGCATCATATATATATATAATAGTTATAATGTATGATAGCATGATTTAGTTTCATGATTAATTAATATAAGCGTTGTATTAATTAGATGAAAATAAAGTTGTATTGAGCATGACATTACTTTAGTGAATATTTTGTTATGTCATGTTCGTCGCGAATAACACGTCGCTGCACATGCCCCTAGCTAGATTCTCCTTGAGCCAAAATCGCTCTTTGTTATTTTTATCTGATTTTCCCACCTGACTCCATAATCTAGTTGAGGTGGATGGCTCTCATGGTGTAGCCTGTATGGCATCCTAGTTCTTTTATTGGATGTTTTTATTCAAAAAAAAAAAAAACCTTCACGTGATCTATCGCGATTATTGAGTAATTATTCTTCTGTAAAGAAGGGGAGAGACCAATGGAATTACAAGTAATAAGTTAGACTAAAAGATAAAAATAGTTTTCAATCACGATAAAGATGGAGAGAAATGTGAGAGTTTTAGGGAGATCAAAGAGTGACTTTTTGGGATATATGGTGTACAAGAAATAAATTTGTTGCGAGTTATAGCATAGGAGGAAGAAAAATGTGCAAAGAATTTCGAAGTAAGAAGAAATCAATTAATGGAGAGGAAATAGACAGAGACGTAATGACAATGGGGGAGGTAATGAAGTAACGGTGCAGGTCGAGATTTTGTTGGGTTGTCATCATAGATCAAGGAAGAAATCAAAGCATAAAATAAGTCTATTGTCGATTGTAATATGTTGGGTTGTCTACCAGACGAAGTGATGATGGAGATTTTCTTGCGGCTCTCACCAGAGTGTCTCATGCGTTTCACATCTGTTGGCAAATCATGGTATGATCTCATAAACGATCTTGAATTTGCAGTCAAACATTTGATGTTTTCTGTGCAACAACAAAACCTTCCGGATGCATCCCCCACTATTATTTTCAAGCGCCTTGTGTCGAAGGACTCTGAGACGAAACAAAACATATTGTCCTTTCTCACACTTTCCAACAATGATGTTGATGACAGTGGATCTATTGTGGACATCGATGTACCATTCTTTGAGAATTGCGTAGCTATGGATTTCAAGGGTCATTCTCATGGTTTAGTATGTTTGTCCCAGCTTGGGAATACTTCTTTCTATTGGCTATATATCTTTACAATGCCAGTTCAAGCTATCTTCTGTCTCGAGCAAGAAAAGGTATGCGCAAGTGCAGTAGTTCAAGGCAGGCAGGTAAGGGCAGGTAGTAAAGGCAAGCGCATAGGCAGGGGATAGGCCTTCAATTCAAATCACGAGATTCAAATAGCGTAAGAGAAAGAGTGGCTCGTGCATCTTTTCTTCTTTTAGACAAGTCTAGTAGCCTCTCGTAAGGAATTGTTATAGCAAGCATGAGCGGGAATGAGCAATGACTTGAGTTTCGTTCTTGAGTTCGAGCGGGGGTAGCATTCCGGTCTTAAGCAAAGCCGTCCTGCCCGGCCATATGTCCTGTTCAGTCAGTTGCATATCGGTCAGCATGATTGTAGCAATACAAATGGGTGCGGTAGACGAAGGAGCTGTTTTCAACAAATCAATAGTTGGGTGCCTGGCTGATGAAATACATCCTCAGAATGCCCTTCGTGCCTAACCTTTTAGGTTAGTTCAAGGGMATTGATAGGGAAATGCACGCACTTGTAGTCGTTTCAGATGCGATCAAAAAGCCTTTTTTTTTTTCAAGCGTAGAGACTACATATGAGGAAGATGCGAATAGAGATGCGGAAGTTCCTGTTGAAGTGTGAGGTGCAGGAGCAGTGAACATGACTCTTGCAGAAGAGGAAGAAATGCGGTAAAGAGGAGTTCCGGGCGTAGGAGTTCATTCCACTATAATAGGAGAAGCAGGTGCAAAAGTAGTAGCAGTAGCACGCGCTTCCCTAGTAGCAGGAAAGGAGAATCGAATTAGTGCGCTAMCTTCTCCCCAAGGCCTCCTCGGTCTTCTTGGACTTGGTTTATGTCTGATTCCACCCGAACTGCTAATGTAGGGTTTTTTGGGGTAATGGCACCGGCACACTTTTCGTCTAAATAAGTTCTCTTTCGTCTGCCGATAGTTCTGACCTGCAAAGTGGAAAATATAGGAAAGAAAACAGCGGCACACACCTTTCTTTTTACCGCTGCAAAAATTCTCATTTCTTAGAAAGAAAAAAGCACAAAACCGCGGAAAGTGCCCCCCGGGTTTATAGACCAATCAACCAGGAAAGAAAGTTCCTGCTACTGGAAAACAACTCCATCCGCGGATGAAACAACATATTTAGATGCAGCAGATGGGGGATGCGCCTTATTCTTATCCTCTTTCTTCGGCTGCTTCAGTGAATGCACCAACGCATAAGTAAGAAGAGAGATAAGGGTTGTTAGGGGACAGGCTCACCTTTCCGTAGGGTTCCATGCTTGACGGTCAGGTAGCGGAAGTAAGGTCAATAAGGACCACAACAAGCCTCTCGGCGAGACGAGACGGGGAGTTTGAAAACACTAATCTAATACCGGGTGAAGAAGAAGAAACGAAACTCCACTAATTATTTATACAAAGAGAGGAGGCCAAAAGAATGGGAATCATAAACAGTAAGTGACGATTCTAACTCATCCTGAACCTAGCTGGCGTTAGATTATTACTCGAAAACGGCGAGGCCAAACACGGCACTAACAGCTACAACCGAAACACAACGGCTTCCGTGGATGCATCTGTTGTTGATTCAATTGAATGCCAGTCCAGGAGTCGATTCTGATCATGAATGTCGTAGAACTATTGCATCAGCGAATGTATTCGTATCGGTAATTAGACTACTTATTATGCCAAAGGGTAGGCGTTAG